TTTACCTGTAATTAGTAAAAAATTTGACATTGAAGTACTTAAGCTGAATCCGAAAATGAACTCATAGTGGACCTGAGACCAATATTTCATGAAAATTTTGCTATCCAAGACAAAAACCGTTGAGGTGAAATGAGATTTCGTGGGATAGTTGGTTCAAACTTTTTGTGCTGAATTTTTTATGAAATATTGGACCTAGCTCAATTCTGAAACCATTTTCGGATTCAGCATAGATTAAAGTCTTAACAGATAAACTGCAGCTTTCCTCGTCCTTAAGATCCCGACATAACAGAACAAATTGTTCAAAGTAAAAGAATTTCGGGAATTTTGATGAAACCTAGGTCCATTCAAAATCCCGGCTACTAGAATCTCGACTATCGACTAGATTATACTATAGACTAGACTATAGTCTAGACTATAGACTGGACTATAGACTAGACTTTAGACTAGACTATAGAATATACTATAGACTACAGACTGGACTATAGACTAGACTTTAGACTGGGCTATAGACTATAGACTAGCCTATAAACTAGGATATAAACTAGGGTATAGACTAGGCTATAGACTAGACAGTAGACTAGATTATACACTAGGCTATAGACTAGACTATAGACTAGACTATAGACTAGACTATAGACTAGACTATAGACTAGACAATATACAAGATTATAGACTAGACTATAGAATATACTGTAGACTAGACTATAGGCTGGACTATAGCCTAGTCTATAGACTGGACTATAGACTATGCTTTAGACTAGACTATAGACTGGACTATAGACTAGGCTATAGACTAGACTATATACTAGACTATAGACTAGACTATAGACTAGAATATAGACTAGACTATAGAATAGAATATAGACTAGAATATAGACTAGACTATAGAATAGAATATAGACTAGTCTATAGACTAGTCTATAGACTAGACTATAGACTGGACTATAGACTGTACTATAGTCTAGACTATAGACTAGACTATAGTCTAGACTATATACTAGACTATAGACTAGACTATAGACTAGACTATAGACTAGACTATAGACTAGACTATAGGACTAGACTATAGACTAGACTATAGACAAGACTATAGACTAGACTATAGACTAGACTATAGACTAGACTATAGACTAGACTATAGACTAGACTATAGACTAGACTATAGACTAGACTATAGACTAGACTATAGACTAGACTATAGACTAGACTATAGACTAGACTATAGACTACACTATAGACTACACTATAGACTAGACTATAACTAGACTATAGACTAGACTATAGACTAGACTATAGACTAGACTATAGACTAGACTATAGACTAGACTATAGACTAGATATAGACTAGACTATAGACTAGACTATAGACTAGACTATAGACTAGACTATAGACTAGACTATAGACTAGACTATAGACTAGACTATAGACTAGACTATAGACTAGACTATAGACTAGACTATAGACTAGACTATAGACTAGACTATAGACTAGACTATAGACTAGACTATAGACTAGACTATAGACTAGACTATAGACTAGACTATAGACTAGACTATAGACTAGACTATAGACTAGACTATAGACTAGACTATAGACTAGACTATAGACTAGACTATAGACTAGACTATAGACTAGACTATAGACTAGACTATAGACTAGACTATAGACTAGACTATAGACTAGACTATAGACTAGACTATAGACTAGACTATAGACTAGACTATAGACTAGACTATAGACTAGACTATAGACTAGACTATAGACTAGACTATAGACTAGACTGTAGACTAGACTATAGACCATATTATAGACTAGACTATAGACTTGACTATAGACTAGACTATAGACTGGACTATAGACTAGACTATAGACTAGACTATAGACTAGACTATAGACTAGACTATAGACTAGACTATAGACTAGACTATAGACTAGACTATAGACTTGACTATAGACTAGACTATAGACTAGACTATAGACTAGACTATAGACGTGACTATAGACTAGACTATAGACTAGACTATAGACTAGACTATAGACTAGACTATAGACTAGACTATAGACTAGACTATAGACTAGAATATAGACTAGTCTATAGACCAATCTATAGACTAGACTATAGAATAGACTATAGAATAGACTATAGACTAGACTATAGACTGGACTATAGACTTGACTTTAGACTAGACTATAGACTAGACTATAGACTAGACTGTAGACTAGAATATAGACTAGACTATAGACTAGACTGTAGACTAGACTATAGACTAGAATATAGACTAGACTATAGACTAGACTAGAGACTAGTCTATATACTCTATACTAGACTATAGACTAGTATATAGACTAGAATATAGACTAGTCTATAGACCAATCTATAGACTAGACTATAGAATAGACTATAGACTAGACTGTAGACTAGACTATAGACTGGACTATAGACTAGACTATACACTAGACTATAGGCTAGACTTGACTATGGTCTATGTTATAGACTAGATTATAGACAAGACCACAAGTTTGTCTATTGACTACTAAACGGAGTATAAGCCAAAAGTTTATAAGTTTAAAAAGTACCAAAAATGCCGTGGGTGTTCCCCGGTATCTTTTGATATGAAAAAGTACTAAAATAGTACTAAATTGGCCATGCCTGATTAGTAAATTTTTATATGCGTTTACAAAAAATCTCCCAATAAGTTATTATAAAACTACAGTTAGAATAACTCAAATGGATAGAATTACTCATGTACGAGGTAAGGTGTTACCTGCTTCAACTCCATACTGCTCCTTTAAATTTTACATAAAAAATAATAATTTGCTGTATAAATTACTTTTTCTGCAGTTTCTTACGCCAAAACCTGACTGACATAATGTCGTAAAATGTGTTGGATGATCATTAACAACTTTACAGGAGAATAAAAAATTAACCACAAGAATAAATTCTTGAGCAAAAAGAGAAAAACAACCAAAGTAAAAATAATGAAACATGTCATGCATCATTTAATGGTGCTACTACTTACTTACTGCAGCCAATTCAATACTTAATACTTACTCTGCTGCAAGTGCAACAAGGTAATTAAGGTATTTAACTCGGGTTTTCTTTTTTTTAACTAATATGAACTTTTTCAGGAAATTAATAAACAAATTATGGTCGATAAGGAGTATGAGTTTTTTTTAACCAAGAAAGCAAAGTTTTGATGTTGTTATTCAATTTAATATTTTTCTGAAAAAGTACTATTTCTACTACTATTTTAAAATTGGAAAATAAATTTAGATTTGTAAACTATTTCAAGTTTACAAAATATTTCCACCAAAATTTTTAGGAATTTACTACTTTCTGTAAAAAAATAGTATACATTTCACTACTTTTTTACAAAAATCATATGGAAAATATTTTTCTTTTGTGAGAAATTTGTTTAATAATCACTTTATATGCATAAAAATTATGAATTTTATACTTTTTGGAAAAAGTAGTATTTCTACTACTGTTTTAAAATTGAGAAATAAACACAGATTTGTGACCTATTTCATGTTTATAATATATTCTGACTAAAATTTGTAAAAATTTACAACGTTTTGTTAAAAAGTAGTATAAATTTGACTACCTTTTTACAAAAATATAAAGAACATATTTTCCTTTTGTAGGGAATGTTTTAGATAATCATATTCCAGGCATAAAACTTATAAATTGTATACTTTTTTGAAAAAGTATATTTCAAAAATTCAAAAAATTGCAAAATAAATTTAGATTTTAAATCTATTTCATGTATTTAGTATATTCCAGCTAAAATTTTGTAAAAATATACTACTTTTGGTAAAAAAGGTACTAAATGTTTCACTACCTTTTTATAAAATTTTATGGCAAATATTTTATTTTCGTAGGAAATTTGTTCAATAATCATATTTTATGCATAAAAATTATAAATTTAATACTTTTTTAAAAAAAGTAGTATTTCTGCTACTATTTGAAAATTAGAAAATAAATGCAGATTTGTAAACTATTTCAATTATAAAATATATTCCCTTTAAAATTTTTAAGAATTTACTACTTTTTGTAAAAAAGTAGTATAAAATTTACTACTTTGTTACAAAAATTATATGAAAAATATTTTCTTTTTATGGGAAATTTTTTCAATAATCATATTTAATGCATAAAAATTATGAATTTAATGCTTTTTTGAAATAGTAGTATTTCTACTACTATTTTTAAATTGGAAAATAAAATTTTGTTTTGTTATCTATTTTATGTAAAAAATACATTCTCGGTAAAATTTTTATAAAAATATAGCTTTTTGTAAAAAACTACTAAAGATTTTACTACTTTTTTTCTAAAAATTTATAGAAAATATTTTTCTTTTATAAGAAATATTGTCAATAACCTAGTTTATGGCTATAAATTATAAATTCATTGCTTTTTTTAAAAAGTAGTATTTCTACTACTATTTCCTAATGTCAAAATAAGTCAGTCTTTTAAGGGTTTTATAAATATTTAAGAATATTTAGTAGATTTTAGTGCTTTGCATTTAACTTTCTAAAGCTTTTTTTTTGTTATAAAATCCCTATTAAAAGCTTCTCTCTGTCCCTTTCTTAAGACAAATCCATCTCTTTTCTGAATCTTTTTGACATTTACACAAGAAATATCAAAAAATATACTAAAAACTGTACTCCTGTACTCTTGCTGATCTGATTTGCATTCAAATTTACATTAGATTTTGTAAAGTTTTTTAAAGCTTTAAAAAGCTTATTTTAAAACCTTTTTATTCCCTTTAATAACACCTTTAGATCTTGTGTTTTTTGTTTAAAAATTTTGCTTATTTATTTAAAATTTAATTTTTAATATTTTTTTATTTAACAAAAATGTATTACCAAAAAGCTTTAAAAGCTTTTTTTTGTAAAAAAGTAATTCAAAAAACAAAAGAAAAATCAAAAATTCACATTAAAAAGACATTGTTTTTCTGGACACAAATTTATATAAAAAATACAAAGAACATTTTTAAAGTTTTTTTACATAAATACGTTTATATAATTTGTTATATATGTATAAGTAAGTATATAATGCTTTCAAGTTTGTTTTAATCAATAAATACAACTAAATAGTTAAAAGTACATAGAATATATAGTAGAATGTAATATACATTAAATAGGGTTAAAGGTTAAGTTTCAAGTTATACTTTCTCTTTTTTTACTTTATACCTCCTTTTTTGGAAATTGAATTGAAAAATGTTAAGAGATTTCATTCAAAATCATTGCAGTGTTGTTCTTGTTCGGCATTTGCCATTAATACTTTAACAATATCGGAGGTAAATTTTTCCACCAATTCTAAAGCTGTACTGGGTGGTAGATCTTGCAGTGAAGATGATATAAAATTACCAAAGGCATTATATTTTAATTCTCGGGCATTTAAACGCGCCTGTTTAGGGGGTGAAGGTGCTGTGGATACTGCGGAATCATCATCATTTTGTACGGAGGATTGATTAAAGGATGTTAGATGATTACGTTGTTGTTGTGGGAAATGTTGTTGTTGTTTTTGTTTATGATACATCGATGATGAGGAATCGGCATAATCTGAACGTAATGTATCTAAACGACGTATACTAATAGTGGGATGATGTTGTTGTTGCTGCTGTTGCGTCTGTTGTTGTTGTTGCTGCTGCAGTAGTCTAAGTTGAGAATGTTGCAGTTGTTGTTGTTGCAGCTGTAGTGTTGAGGAATGTGTGTCCGTACTGTGTTTTATTAAAGATTTTAGAAATGTTAGTAAAATTTCTTTTAATTTTAAAAAAGGAGCAAAACAATTTTTCGATTTTTATTTTTTTTTAAACTTTTCCAGAAACAAGTAACAAAATTAAAAAAAAAAATTGTCGCATTTCTTTTTAAAATTGCAAATATTTGAACGCAATATCGTAATAGAGTTATAAATCTAGAAAATTTCACAAAAATAATACCTTTTTCAAAAAATTAGTATTTCTACTACTATTTTATAATTTGAATATAAACTCAAATTTCAAATCTTGTGCACGTATACAAATTATGCCCGTTAAAAATTTTTAAGAAAATACTACTTTTTGTAAAATAGTAGTATAAGTTTCTTTACTATTTTACAAAAATTTATAGAAAATATTTTTCTTTTATAGGAATTTTTTTAATGAATCATATTTCATACATAAAAATTATAAATTCAGTACATTTTTTCAAAAAGTAGTATTTCTACTACTATTTTAAAATTGGAAAATATATACAAATTTCAAATCCTTTTCACAAATAGAATATATTCCTTTTAAAATTTTTATAAAAATACTACTTTTTCTAAAAAAGTACCAAAAATTTCACCACTTTTTTACAAAAATTTTAAGAAAATATTTTTCTTTAATAGGAAACTTTTTAAATAAACATATAACATGCTTAAAAATTCCTAAATCAAGACTTCTTTAAAAAAGTAGTATTTCTACTACTATTTTAAAATTGAAAAATTAAAGCTAAAGATTTGTTAACTATTTCCTATATAAATACATTCCTGTAAAAATTTTTATGAAAATACTACTTTTTAGAAAAAAGTAGTAGATATTTCAGTACTTTTTTACAATAATTTAAAAAAACTATTTCCCTTTTATAGGGAATTTTATAAATAATCATATTTCATGCCTTAATAATTACAAATTCATACTTTTTTAAAAAGTAGTATTTCTACTACTATTTTAAATTTGGAAAATTAAACCAGATTTGTTATGTATTTCTTGTAAAAAATACATTCCTGTTAAAATTTTCATGAAAATACTGCTTTTTAGAAAAAAGTAGTAGATATTTCACTACTTTTTTACAATAATTAAAAAAAAAAACAATTTTGCTTAAATAGGAAATTTTTAAATAATCGTATAACATGCTTAAAAATTCGTAAATCAATACTTTCTTAAAAAGTAGTATTTCTACTACTATTTTAAATTTGGAAAATTAAACCAGATTTGTTATATATTTCTTATAAAAAATACATTTCTCTTAAAATTTTCATGAAAATACTACTTTTTAGAAAAAAGTAGTAGATATTTTACTACTTTTTTACAATAATTAAAAAAAACTAATTTTCTTAAATAGGAAATTTTTTAAGCAAACATATTTCATACCTAAAATATTGGAAATGAATACTTTTTTAAAAAGGTAGTATTTCTACTACTATTTTAAAATTGAAAATTTAAATCAAATTTGTTATCTCTTTCATGTAAAAAGTACATTCCTGTTAAAATTTTTGTAAAAATACTAATTTTTGTAGTATTTTCACTACTTTTTTGTCAAGAAATTCAAACTTATTTAGCAATTTTCCTAAATTTTAATTTTAACCAGAAATCTGTGTTCCAAACTCAATTCTTTGGAAAAATTAATTCATTTAAAAGCTTATTTTCCTTTAAAAGTTTTAAATTTTCAACCAAATTGTTTTGCTTTTTTATAATTTCCAAAAAAATACTTACATTAAACCCGATGTTTCAAATGCATTTATCTCGGAATCATTATTTTGACTTTCCCTAAAAAGCAAAAACAAAACTTTTAATATCATGATTTAAAAATTGTGAAAAAATAAACTTTACGTTTCAGCATCTGTTTCCTCTGAACCATCTTCCATTTTAACGGTTAGCAAACCATTTGGAAATGCTCCTCCCCCGGCTGCCACTGTTCCCGTGCCGACCGCTTGATGTAATGTGCCATTAGATGAATTACTTAAATCGGGACCAGCACCAAATTGACCACTACCATTTAAAGGCATCATTTTCTTATATGATCTTCTTGCTCTTATATGATCCGAAAGAAAATGTAAATGCTCATAAAGAGGCCAAGGTGATTCATGAGATTTAAAGGGATTTTCTTCTCGCAACTGTTCTAGGCGTCGTTTTTCCAAATTATAACGATTTCGTAATTGTAAAATACGATCTTTTAAAATGGAAACTGTAAAAAGAACCCCAAGTGACAGGTGGTTTAAAATACAAGTTCAGCAATGTATAAGAAGGAGTTATTGTCCCCTTAGAGGTGGTAGTTTTTAAATGTTGTTTTTCAAAAACATGTGTTTAGTTTTCATTCAAATGTTGTTGTTGTTTTTTCACTATTTTTTCTTTCTAGTATTTTTTTATTTCATTATTTATAAAGCTTTTACGCATCAAAAACATGTGCATTTTTCTATATATTTTTTTTTATTAGTTTTATTTTATAAACAAAACAATTTTTATAAACCCCTTTGAAAATGCTAAAACTCACCCTTATTACAAAACTACTGTGGTTAGAGGTGAGTTTTATATCAATGTTTATTATTTAATATGGGGAGTTTTGTATGGGGTTTTGAATAGTTTTTCTTTGGGCAAAAAAAAACTGTAATAGTAAAAGCTTATGTGAAATTTATGAATTAATAAAAAATGAGAGTGACAAAAAGTAAATATTGGACTTTTGTTAAAGTGTTTCTTTTAATTAGTCAATGGACAAAACTTTAGACTAGTAAATAGGTAAGTATTTAAACTAGTCAATAGACAAGTCTATAGACTAGTCAATATACAAATCATTAGACTAGTCAATAGACAAGTCTTTGCACTAGTGAAAAGTCAAGTCTTTAGTCTCGTCAATAGACAAGTCTTTAGACTTTTCAATAGACAAGTATTTACACTAGTCAATAGACAAGTCTTTAAACTAGTCAATAGAAAAGTCTTTAGACTAGTCAATAGACAAGTCTTTTGACTCAATAGGCAAGTCTTTATACTAGTCAATAGACAAGTATTTACAGTAATCAATAGACAGGTCTATAGACTAGTCAATAGACAAGTCTCTAATCAATAATCAAGTCTTTAGAATAGTCAATAGACAAGTCTCTAGACTAGTCAATAGACAAGTCTCTAGACTAGTCTCAAGACTAGTTTCTAGACTAGTCTCTAGACTATTCAACAGACAAGTCCTTAGAGTATTAAATGGAAAAATCTTTAGACTAGTCAACAGACAAGTCTTTAGACTAGTCAATAGACAAGACTTTAGACTAGGCAATAAACAAGTCTATAGATTAATCAATAGACAAGTCTTAAGACTAGTCAATAGACAAGTATTTAGACTAGTCAATAGACAAGTCTTTAGACTAGTCAATAGACAAGTCTTTATACTAGAATGCAATTTAGATATAGACAATTCTTAAGAATAGTCAATAGACCCATCTTTGGACTAGTCAATAGACAAGCCTTTAGACTAGTCAATAGACAAGTCTATAGATTAGTCAATAGACAAGTCTGTAGACTAGTCAATAGACCGCATTATAGATTAGTAAAGAGACAAGTCTATAACTAGTCCAAACATTACTCTATATACTAGTCCATAGTAAAGTCAATAGACAATTATAAAGACTAGTCAATAATCAAGTCTAAAGATTAGTCAATAGAAAATTAGTTAAAACTTTTTAAAAAGAACAACATTTTGAATGAAACTTTCCACAAGTTCTAAAGATAAATTGCATTCCACCTGTCTGTTCCAAACTTACCATCAAAACCCAATTTATTGGAGATTTCCTGCCATTCATGAGCATTATAAAGTTTATCCTTAAAACGCGGTGAATTGCGATCATAAAACGAAGGGCGATTGCGAAATTCGCTAATTAAACTTAAATCGAATTCACCCATTTGGGGTAAAGCGCGCGGACGGCCACGTTTGGGTTGAAAATCGTTTATATAGGCCAGGTTGAAGGCTACAAGCAACAACAACAAAGGTGGCAATATTATAGAGAAGTTTTGTAGAGAAAAAAAAAACAAAACTAAAAACAAAAAGAAATTGTTTAATAAATTAAGAAAAAAATGTTAATAAATTAAATAAAATAAATAAATTATCTTTAAATTTAGTGATAACAATTAAATTAAGAAAGCAAGAATGAAAAGAAAAAAGCTTTTAAAGCTAACTACACTTAAAACATTTTTTTATAAACAATAAAAACAAAAAAATTAAAAAGAATTATAAATGTATAATTTTTTTTTGTTTTTTTAAAATAAAGCACATGTTGAGAAAGAGCGCATGTTTGGCGAAGAAAAAAAGCGCTCTTTTATTACTTAAGGGAGAGAGTAAGTTAAAGAGACAGAAAGAGAGAGCAATTAAAATCAAAGGAAAAATTTGCAAAAAATTTTTTAAAAGTGTAGTTGAGGAGACGACCAACAAACAATAACAAGAAAATTTTTTATATAAAAAAATAATAAATATAAAAAAAGCTTTTTTTCACACTGCGGTTAATTTATAATAAATTAAAACGTTAGCAGAAATTATTATTAATATTACAACAACAACTACAAAGAAAAAAGACAGACACAGAAATTATTAAATTAAATATTAAATTAAAAAGAGAGATAAAAAATTCATAAAAAATTATTGTTTTTTTTGGGAACAAAAAAATCAAACAAAGTGAACTTTGTTTTTTAAAGATAATTTATTTTAATTATTTAATTTTTTTAAAATAAAATTTTGTTTTTTAAAACTTACCTTTTTTTCCTATTAAATTTTTGATAATTGAAATATTTTCTTTAAATATTTTAATTAAAATAATATTTTTCTTTTCACACACACACACTTACAACAAACAAATTATGTATTTTTTTTAATTAATTTTTAACTCTTTTTGAGGTAAATTTTTATTTTTATATATAAAAACAAAATTAAAAATCAAACGTCTTTACTGCTCAACATTTAATTTTAAACTAAACTCTTAAAAAAAATTTTATACAAATAATTTTTTTTTTATATTTTATTTTTTATTACGTTTGCTTTTTCTTCTCTAAAATAAACGCGCGCGTTGTTGTAGCTCTGCTGCTATTATTTCTCCTTCCTCTTTCGTCTGTATACACTAACAACAACAAACACAAGCAGTTTTTGTCTGCCTGTGTGCTGCTGCTGCTGCTAAGTTTTGCTTAAATATTAAAACTAATATTGTCTTTGTGTTTAATTTTTCCTACTTTTTTGTTGTAATTTAAAATTAAAAAAAAAAATTCTTTTTCATATGTATAAAGAAAAAAATAAAACAAAAATGTTTATTCTTTAAATATAAAAACAACCACCATCCACAACAACAACAACATCATCAACATCACCATCATACCAAACCAAAAGCATAGCGGTTAATAGCATTTTTTTTGTTTACACATTCTCACACACACTCACACCAACACTCTCTCACTGAAAACGACAGAGCGAATGCTCCCAAAGAAAAACAAAATAAAAACATTAATGTTCGTTAGTTATTTATTTTGTGTTTTTGAGCTGCCAGATGTTTTTCTTATAGAATTATTAATTGTTATTGGAAAATTTATTATTTAAGGGTCGTTTTTGTTTGTAAAAATATAATAACCAGTTATTAAATTATAACAATTATGTTTTAGAAATTTAAATAAAATAAAATTTTTGCTTAATTTATAACTATAAGGGAAGTAAACTTTTTTATTGACAACTTTAACGATTTTAGAAAAAAACTTTCAAAATATGGTGAAATTATAAAGGTTTTAACATCCCAGGAAAAACTTTACATACCAGGTAACCAGGCAAGTAATATTGGAGCAATGTGGAAGTACTTACTTTTAGGGGTTAATAACTATTTATTTCTGTTCAAGGTTCAAGGTTCGAGGTTCAAAAAATAACTGGTTACAAATGTGTTGCCAATATTGACTATAGACTAGACTATAGACTATATTATAGACAAAACTATATACTAGACTATGGACTAAGCTACAGACTAGAATACACTATATACTACACTATATTCTAGACTGTAGAACATACTATAGACTAAATTATAGATTAGACTATAGACTAGACTATAGCCTAGACTATAGACTAGATCATAGACTAGACTATAGACTAGATTATAGACTAGACTATAGACTAGACTACAGACTAGGCAATAGACTATACTATAGATTTAACTACAGACTAGACTTCAACTAAACTGTAGACAATAGACTAGACCATATACTAGAGCATAGACCAGATTATATAATAGACTATAGATAAGATTATAGATTAGACAATAGAAGACTAGGCTATTGACTGGACTACAACTAGACTATAGAAAAGCCTGTAGACTATACTATAGACTAGACTATAGACTAGACTATAGACTAGTCTATAGACTATACTATAGACTAGACTATAGACTAGATCATAGACTAGACTATAGACTAGATCATAGACTATACTATAGATTAGACTACATACTAGACTTTAAACTAAGCTATAGACAAGTATAGACAATAGACTAGACTATAGACTAGACTATAGACTAGACTAAAGACTAGACTAGACAATAGACTGGACTATAAACTGGACTATAGACTAGACTATAGACTAGACTATAGACTAGACTATAGACTAGACTATAGACTAGACTATAGACTAGACTATAGACTAGACTATAGACTAGACTATAGACTAGACTATAGACTAGACTATAGACTAGACTAGACTAAAGACTAAACTAAACAATAGACTAGACTATAGACTGGACTACAAACTGGACTATAGACTAGACTATACTATAGATTAGACTACATACTAGACTTTAAACTAAGCTGTAGACAAGTCTATAGTCTAGTAACTAGACCATAGACTAGACAATAGACTAAAGACTAGACTATTCACTAGACTATAGACTAGACTATAGACTAATCTATAGACTAAACTATAGACTAGACTACAGACTAGACTATAGAATAGATTATAGACTAGACTACAAACTAGACTATAGACTAGACTATAGACTAGACTATAGAATAGATTATAGACTAGACTATAGACTAGACTATAGACTAGACTATAGACTAGACTATAGACTAGACTATAGACTAGACTATAGACTAGACTATAGACTAGACTATAGACTAGACTATAGACTAGACTATAGACTAGACTATAGACTAGACTATAGACTAGACTAAAGACTAAACTAAACAATAGACTAGACTATAGACTGGACTACAAACTGGACTATAGACTAGACTATACTATAGATTAGACTACATACTAGACTTTAAACTAAGCTGTAGACAAGTCTATAGTCTAGTAACTAGACCATAGACTAGACAATAGACTAAAGACTAGACTATTCACTAGACTATAGACTAGACTATAGACTAATCTATAGACTAAACTATAGACTAGACTACATACTAGACTATAGACTAGACTATAGACTAGACTATAGACTAGACTATAGACTAGACTATAGACTAGACTATAGACTAGACTATAGACTAGACTATAGACTAGACTGTAGACTGGACTATAGACTAGACTAAAGATTAGACCATAGACTAGACTATAGACTAGACTATAGCGAAAAAACGCAAGAAATTTCTAAACGCTGGTTACAAATCTCCAAATTTTCCGCTAAACTGCAATTTTTCCCGCAATTGACCTTCCAAAACGTCAGATTCGACGGGAAAAACTTCAAATTGGCAACACTGTTCGTAGCCAATTTCCACGGGTTTAAACCCGGATCTACAGTTGTTTTCTGTGTTTATTTGATCTATCCGCTAAATGATTTTTGCAGCTCTTATGTATTAGTTTCCCAAATACAGGCTTTGTATTTAATTCATATGAGAGGTGTCAAGCCCCCTATTGAAAGTCCGCCCATTTTTCCCCAAATGTTAACATGAATGTCAAAGATATTTCTATAAAATTTGAGGATTCTAGCTCGAATAGTTTCTCAGATATACGAATTTTTGCATTTAATTCATATGGGCGATATCACGCCCCCTATTGCTACTCCGCCAATTGATTAACCGAATGTTTACATGAATGTCAAAGTTGGTCGTGCAAAATTTTAAGATTTTAGCTCTAACAGTTTCTTAGATATACGCATTTTTGGATTGAATACATATGGAAAATGCCACGCCCCCTGTTTCTAAGTCTTAAATATTCATATTCAAATTTTGGACTCTAGCCGTTTGTTATACTTTCTCAGATATAATTTAAGATTTTTTTTATATAGGAGGTTCTCTATAGTCCTATGGTAGACATGGCGCTTAATCGAGTCAGAAAGTAATTTTTAGCCGATTGGTATATTTATAAAAGTAGTGAAGCCTTTTGGTTACATTAATCATCTTTTAATTAGTAATTAATGTAACATCTGGCATCTCTCTTTATTTCATTATATATTTTAATTATTAAAAAGGCGAATATATATTTTTTTCTTCGTCATTTTGGGGTTTTTATATTTAATAATAAGTAAACTCCCTATGTAGTTAGAAATCACAAGAAACCTTATTAATAAAATATTTCTTTTTTTTTTTTGTTTTAATTTCTTATACATTTTACAGCGAAGAGCAAATGTAAAGAAACAAAAGAAAAATTATGCTCTTTAAAAAAACACTTATGCTCTCGAAAAAAGTAGTTTTTAACAAAAATATTTATTAATTTAAATTGTAGCTATTATTTTTATTATTATTTTCTTAAGTAAACAAATTTAATTACATTTAATTAACTTCAAAGACTGAAGTATAGGAGAGGAAAATAAATCAAAGAAATATAATTTGTTTGAAAATAAAAAGAAAATGAGGAAAAAAATTAAAGATAAAAATGTCTATAGCAAAACGAAAAATATATAAAATAAAACAGAATAAAAAATGATAAAAAAAATTAATTGTATCTTGGTGTAGACAAAAAAAAATATGTATAAAAAGTAATAAAATAAATATTTAATTTATAAACAAGTTGGAAACAAAGATGGAGAGTATTCGGGCAAAAGAGAAAGAAGGCTAAAAGGAAATTTTAACAGTTACCCTTGTTTTCTTTGGAAGATTAGAGGCGCCAAGGTGTTAATTAGTTAGGCATTGGTGTGTTCTAGTCTAGTAGACCGGAGGTCCTGAGTTGGATTCCCACGTGAAGCACAGGCAAAGGGGATACCAACAAGGAAGATAGAGCTCTAACTAACTAACTAACTAACTAACTAACTAACTAACTAACTAACTAACTAACTAACTAACTAACTAACTAACTAAGTAACTAAGTAACTAAGTAACTAAGTAACTAACTAGTAACTAAGTAACTAAGTAACTAAGTAACTAACTAACTAACTAACTAACTAACTAACTAACTAACTAACTAACTAACTAACTAACTAACTAACTAACTAACTAACTAACTAACTAACTAACTAACTAACTAACTAACTAACTAACTAACTAACTAACTAACTAACTAACTAACTAACTAACTAACTAACTAACTAACTAACTAACTAACTAACTACTAACTAACTAACTAACTAACTAACTAACTAACTAACTAACTAACTAACTAACTAACTAACTAACTAACTAACTAACTAACTAACTAACTAACTAACTAACTAACTAACTAACTAACTAACTAACTAACTAACTAACTAACTAACTAACTAACTAACTAACTAACTAACTAACTAACTAACTAACTAACTAACTAACTAACTAACTAACTAACTAACTAACTAACTAACTAACTAACTAACTAACTAACTAACTAACTAACTAACTAACTAACTAACTAACTAACTAACTAACTAACTAACTAACTAACTAACTAACTAACTAACTAACTAACTAACTAACTAACTAACTACTAACTAACTAACTAACTAACTAACCAACTAACTAACCAACTAACTAACCAACTAACTAACTAACTTACAAATTTTTGAAATAATTTGCAAATTTTTATAAAATTCTC